AATTTCAATTTTCACTATGTTTTATTAGTAAATTTAGCCCCTGAGTCATTACTTTTGGTCGCCACTGTATATATATTATTTACTATATACTAAAAATATTTATTATAATTATAATTATAAAAAACAAGCTTTATTTTTTAATTATTATTAATATAATATAAAAGAGAATTATAAAAGATTTTATTAAAAAATAAATATATTAATTTCTTCTTGATCAAAACTATTATAGATAAAATAAAAATTAATATTATTATATTAATAATAATGCTATTTTATTTTTATTAATAAATATTTTTATAAATAATAAATACTAAAGTTATTTAATATTTTCTTACTAAGTTATAAGTATATTTTATATTCTGAAAAATAAGTTATACTTTCTTTTTTATTTATAAACATCTTCAAGTATAAAGTTAATAATATGAATAAGAATAATAATAAAAGAAAAATTATTGATAATATAACTAAATTTTATTTATTAAAATTAAATAGAAAAATTATATATTGAATTATTTGAATTATTTCTTGATTCATTCTTTTTTAAGAAATAATATTTAATAAATAATTATTTTCAGAAAATAAAATATTTGAGTTTTTATTATGATTATTTTAATTAAATATCAGAAACTTTATAATAAATAAGAAAAAGTCAGTGATCTGAAAATTCAATTTTAAAATTATATGAACAACTTAAATATTATAAGTTAAACATCAAATTTGCCCAAGACTGAAACATATATTACAAGTTAAAAGAATTAACAAAAAAAGTTTGATCAATCTCAAGATGTTATCTAGCTAGTATCCTAGTCATGATGAATTTTTCCGTTACCCCTTAAAATCACATGATCTATCATCTTTTCGTTATAAGTTTCTATCAATTAATATTTAATTTGTTTAGAGTAGATCAATATAATAAACTTTGAGTTAGAGGTTTTATTAAATCTAAATTATTTCAATAATTTAATAATTTAATAATTTTAATAATGCTCTGTTCTATGTTGTTTTTTATTGTAATTCGTCTCAATTTTCCCCAGTCCATCACAACGTCATTGGTACATTCTTATATCAAAACATTGCCTCCTTAAGCGTAATCACCTATTCTAATTCTATCATAATCTTACAATCAATCATATAACTTCAGATGGTAATAAATATGTAATACAAGTTCAAGATTAAACATTTGATCATTATGTTATCATTTGAAATTCTAATTATTAAAGATCATTTAACGTTAATTTTTAATATAAGCAAAATCTTACATAAATAATTATTTATTATTCTATGTACAATTTTTACAACAAAAATGATAATGATAAAAATAAATACTCTCATACAGTTAATTTATCTTTTATTACAATTCTACTATGAAAACATTTGTATTTTAAGAAAAAAATGATCGAAATCTTATTGCTAAACAAAAAAAAAATACAAGAAAAAATAGGATAATAATGATTGTGATGACGAAATTCTTTTTTTTTGATTTCATACATATACATACATTCAATATTATGTACTGCCACATACTGTATTATGGAGAGTCGCGGTTAGGTAACAAAGGAGTCGCTTCATTAGGTGAGCAAATATCTCGTTTACAAATAGGACACTGAAGGGCGTAAATAACAATTAATATCATAAATAATTAATAAAGGGCCACAGGTAATCAATCGATCACACATAAAATGATTCCCACTTACAAATTTCTTTCTTGTTGTCAGCCAACTATCGATACATGTGACATGAAATTCGTGTTTGCACGGCATAATCCTAAGTTCATCTCCATCCGCATAGTCATCAAGGCATATTGCACATTCCTGTGGGTCATTTTCTTGTCTTTTCGACTGATTATATATTTTCCGCGGAAGATTGCACACCACTTGTTGTGGTGCGATGTCTTGTCTGTTTAAATGTCGTTGACGAATACGCCATAGAATATAAATGAAGATCATAACCACCGTCGGTGATAAGATTACAACAATTATGACGTCCAATAATGGCCTAATATTTTATCGTTTAAATAAAGTGGTTCATAGGAAGAAAAAGTAGATGAGTAAAATTGTGAAACGAGAGAAATCAATAGCATACATTGGTAATCAGAGTCGGCATTACCACTGTAAAAGATCATCTTTCACAAGCTTTATCAATATTGGGGTTCCACTTATAAATACGATTGACCGGAGTTCATTATAATCCTTTTGTCCAACAAAAACGGAAGGAATTTCAACATCTGAAGTGTTTCCTAAAGAACGATGACAATGAGGGATACTGTAGAGAATGAAATGATTACATGTGTGCAATGACTCACCAGTAGCATACATGGTAATTAATCCATTATGTTCTGGGTCGCCTACTACTACGGCTACTGCTCCTGAACGTTGCATATTTCGTACTTTGTCAATAAAGGAGCAATGACCACGCTCAACGAGAACTATTGTGGGAATGTCAAAACGTGTTTCTAATGTTCGACATCCATTTATGTTATCCGATTCGATCATGTCCAGAGGAATGAGATGCCCTTCAAGCCCCTCCTCCGTTAGGCGTGGTCCAAATGCCGCTATGCGGTCAAAGAAGGTTGCATTTGTTGCCTACGGATAAACGTAACAAAAGCATGGAGTAATTGTGATGATGATAGGTTAAGATGTGGCGAATGTATGCCCAGTTTTTAAACATAATAGATGAAAAGAACGAATGATGTCATTAATTTAAGAGGGAATTCAAAAATATCCTCACAACACCAAGCATTTGCCTACTAAGAATTTATTCCTCGCCTCAAATTTCACATTCTTTTTTTGTAAAGGAAAATTTTTTGTAGTTAAGTATAAAAATTTATCTTCGATAGTTGTCTCTCGAATTAAATATTCTCCAACGAAACGTGTGTACAAAATTCAAAGAGCAAATTTCAAAGAAATCTTACCACTACTATTAACGAAGCATCCGCTACAACATTACCAAGGTGGCACCAGTGCGCAACAAATAGACAGTGAGCTAATAATAACAATAATAATACTCGTTTAAACATTTTTACAAGGAACTATTTTTTTTTCGTAGTGCGCCGTTGCTTTACTCTCTATTGGGACGAATTCTGTGTCTAAAAATATTATCTCTATAGAAAAAGAAAGAGAAGCTAACGATAAAAATGAAAAAATAAATAATTAATTAATTAGACCCCAAAATAAGTGCGAGTAGTGGTAAAGCAAGGAATATTATAATGTCAAAATTTTGATGGCATCATAACCATATCATCAGATTTTCCTTTCTTTTTCCCATGATGCTCTCACCGATTTTATCGTGCGCTGAGGAAATTACATAAGTCAGGACTTTGCGGGGAAATTAATTAATGATCATCATTTACATTATCGTCCGATGTTACTGATATCTTGTTTCTTTGTCCCATTTACAAATTGGGTAAGCATTGTGTGTATGTCACGTTTGATGATTAAAAAGAACGTAAAAAGAATTGATCATCATTAAAATTAATAGCTGATTTACTGTGTGAGATAGGATCTTCGAAGGCGCAGAATTACGTAGTTCCTCAGCAAACGCCAAAACTCCATATACAAATAGCTAATGGTTTTTTTATCTAATAAATATTTTTACAAACGTTTAAGAATGAGTATTGTGTTTTTTATGTGTATATATATATATATGTATCTCTCTCTATCACATGACCAACCGCTGTCAATTTGACACCAGTAAACAGATCGAAGGCCAAATAAACATGGGAATTATGAGATTGTCATTTTGACAGGATGTGGCTTCTAAAAGGGCTAAATTGATAAAATATTATTAGTATCGCGTAAAATAAAATCAAGCATAGGAAAAAAAATGATTTTCACCAGTTAACGTGACCACAAATATATACCCTACCCACTATTTAAACAAGACAAGAATATAATGTTAAGATTCAATGGACATAAAATCTTCAATAATTTATTTGAATCTTCATACCTGCGAAAAAGTTAAAGCTTGATCCGTAATCAAAAAAATATCGATCAGCACACTGCCCAACAATACAAGAACAATAAAAGCCGCGGTTCCTTCAAAAGTTTTAGAGGTTCCGTGCCATCGTCGACGGCCATATTTTCGTCCTATTATTGATGCCTGTTTTCACGGGTTATTATAAGATAATAATTGTATTGTATTTAAATGACGAAATCTGTAGATTTACCATTGAGTCGCCAAGACCGAGGGTAAGAATACCGGATAGACCGGCAATTTTCGAGCTCCTGAATTTATTTCAAAATTAAGCACGGAATTTTTTTCTGAATTAGCCTATCAAAATCATACTAACCCTTTTAACCAAACGCATCCGGCGCATCCAACTAATAAATAAATGTGACTTAAAATAGCGGGACCAGCATCGCGATTATCCACAAATTCGCTTAAAAAGATATGAAGTTGTTTCCCGAGCGGGAAGACCGCAAAAAATCTCAAGTACTCCAGATAGATAAGAGCGGAAAGCGCCACACTAAAGGCCAAATCCATGAATAAAGGCTAATGGTGATATAATAAATTCGAAACGTAGACGCCCGACGCTTAGAATATATTCAATGGACCACAAATAATCAAATTAGATATGGATGCGAACTGACATCAAGTAAATACCCGGGAATAAACATTGCCACCGCAAGAGCATGAAAGTATTTTCGTTTGGCGTTCAACGAGAAATATTTTCGCGTACGAGCAATATAATTGAATAGAAAGAGAGATATCCCGAGTGCCGCAATCCAGTATATAATTAACATAATTCGGGTGTATGAATCAATGATGAATTTAAAAATCCTAATTAAAATTAACAGTTTATAATGAATAAAACGACGATCATGAATTAGAAATCAGAGTAGATACAACGACTTTCGCACACCAATTATTAATTAAACGAAAAAGGCAAAGAATAATTGATCACCATGAATAAGGATTTGCTTTTAGTACCAACTGAACCCATTGACCCAGTCCGCAGACCACAATAATAATAGTACCTCCATATATTATACATGCCGTCCATCTCTTCTCGATCTCGAACGAGTGCGGATCTTTGGTTTTCCACATTGGCTGCTGCGCGAGGTATCGAGAACGAAGGAAAAACGGTGAGAGTAAAATTCCGATCACTAGCATCCCAAGTATGAGTGCTATTTGAAATATGGTTATTGGATGTGGATCTATTTTCATGTATTTCGGAAGTTCGATATATTCAAGCTGTGTTTTTAATTAAAATATACATAATTAAGAAAAAACTCAAAAGAGTTAAATCAATTCTATTGAAATGGAAATACCTCATTCACGGTAACGACCCATGCTTCAACCACCAACAGCGTTATCGACTGCGCCACAATCGCGAGTTCACCGAACGTAAAACTCCTTTTGAAGAGATAAGCAATAGTGTATAAAGAAGCGTGATAAAAAGTCTGTGAAAATATAACATAATGCCACGGTAATTCTATTATAAAATTAATGAGTTATCGCAGACACAAATTAAAAAAAAGATTGGAATAAGGAAATTTAGGAATCAAAAAGAATAACACGCACTTTTTAATAACGGTAATCTGTCAAAATTTGATAAAACGAGATAGATCATTATTGATAAACCACTGGTAATCGCTATGGTCCAGATAGTCGCTAACTTTCTTAAGATAAAATGTTTCGATAAGAACATATGAAGTATGATCCCACATCCTAATAAGATGCATAATTCTGTATTCGTCTGGATAAATTCTTTATAGGAAGAAACATTCCAAATCATGATGAATAAAAAAACCTGCGCGTAAACGCCAAGAACACATATACCTATACAGAAACACATACCAGTATATGAATCATTTTTAGATGATTTATGAATATCGACCAATTTTGCAACTGCCATTATAGGAATTAATAACGCGCCATAGAATGAACCATCATCGACATCAGTTCTATTCACGGAACACATAAAGCATGGGTAAATATCCGTTTTACAATTTGATAAGCAAATTTGATCGCGTCAAAAAAGATGAGTGATTATCAAAATAACATATAACTGGGTTGAACCTATAGCACTTTACGTCAGTTCCCCATATTCTATGCCCATCCTGTCTAGTGTTTGGAAAACGAATCGAATAAACACACCACGTCCAAACAACCAGTAATGCCAAATCTAATGAATTGGGAAATTATGATTACAACGGTCAAGATTTTATTTGAATCATCAGCGATCTTAGTTTGAGAATAGCAAGAGATGTGATATCTGTGCAATCCAGAGGAAAAGATTCTGACCAAATCAAGTTGAACGCTACCTATTCCTTCGACGTAGCCATTTTTACTACTAGGCATAGTCTGTAACAACCTAACAGTGGCCAAGAGCGCCGTGACCACCATGATTAACCTTTCCACAAGACTGGCAGTAGACGGGTGTGGCTGTTGAGGATGTGACATGCCTAGCTTCTTATAATGTTCTAGACTAGTTTTCCCAAGCAAATCCACGCCACCGTTTTCCACCATCTCACCGTCACTACTACCACTGCTGCCAGTCTTAGAGAGCGAAAGCAAGCTTTTCTTTCGCGCAACTAAAAAGTTGCAATGGCAATTCACAGTAGAACCCAAAACGAAGTGTTAATTGAAAGAAAGTTTTAAAAAAAAGGTCATATAGAGGGGAAGGCAACGACGAAGAAGAGGTCTCGGTGAATAAGTCTTGGCATGATTGTTGCACTTCTTGACGATAAATTTGGACAAGGACACACGTGAAACTCGACTTTTCTAATTGCGGTATCAACCAAAATTCTGTCACGGGGGAGGCTGTAAGAATTAAAATTATCGGTGCTATTATTACTTGATTCAGCAATATAAAATTCCAATCTGTCTGTTTTTGCCACGTCGAGCAATCATGGAAGTTGAGAATAATAATAATAATAACACCAGTCAATCAGCGGTAGAAAACGTTCAACTATTTATTCGTTCCCCCCATACGTTGCCTGAAGACTTTTCGATCACTGCAACACCAAATGAGTCCATTCTTGGCCTGAAAAAAACCTTATTTGATAAACACCCGCTCAAGCCAAAAATCAAAGAGCAGAAATTAATTTACAGAGGACGGGTGTTAGATAACTCGGAAATCCTCGCCGAAATCTTGAAGGACGGACTGTCTACGGCACAAACTTTCCATTTAGTTGTTAAATCATCGTTTGAAGGTGAATTTGGAAAAATTCCTGTGACACCCCCTTCTAGACCCTCATTCTCATGGCTTCGTCGCAGTGGTGGCGATGCGGTTAATAGCAATTCAACCACAACAACGATAATTTCTTCAAATGGAGAGACTATGACAACTTCGGCAGCAGCAACGGGGAGTCAACCAGCGAGACACGCCGCTACTCAATATCCTCATTTCTTATCAACGTTCCCTTATTTGAACCAATACGACAACAACAGCATTTCACTTAATTCTCAACAGGATGCACAAACATCGTCATCATCATCATCATCGTATCAAATTATCCCCTTCGCATATCCAACGCATTATTATGTCATGATCAAGTAATAAAATATTCTTTTTCTGATCTTTCTTTCGATGTCCAAAATTGATGTCTAATCTTTATCTCTCCTCTCAAAGTGGATTACCATACATGATACCTGCGGGACCATACCTGCAACAACCGTATTATTATCATCCGCACAATTTAAATCTAAATAATCATAACTATATCAATGCATTTTACCAGCCACAATTCCCTCAACCGCCACCTGTTTTTCCCGTTCAACAGCAGCCACCAGATCCAAACAACGATATCGGGGCAAGAAATCGACGTCGTGCCGCTACTTTCTGGCTTTTATTAAAGTTAGGATTCCTGGTGTACATCTTTTCTCAGAACGCAAGCATAGAACGGATTATTCTACTGCATATTTTTGCGCTTGTGATATTCTTGTAAGTATCATTTTTTTATTCTTAGATGATGTTGATTTTTCCCATCGGAGGAAGAGTATTTATTATACATGATAGTAATAGGATGTATTCGGGTATTTTTACGTCAATAAAAGAGGAGAATTCATTAATATCAAAACACTTGAATTCTATAGATATCAAACTGGTCGATTGCGCATTGTTCGAAGACGAAGACACCGAGTTCCCCCAATACATCCGCCAAATAATAATATCAATAATAATAACTTGTTTGGTATGAGATAACAAAGGATTAATTTATTTATTTTATTTATATATAAGCTATTATGTTTATTTTGTACGCGCACAATCGATTAATCATATTTTTCGTGGCGTACTTGATAAAAATTTATTATTATCATATAATGCTCGTAATCAGCTCAACAACTACAACAAATCCAACCACCACCCATGCCACAAGATAGAGGAACAACAGCATCAACATCTACGTCAGCGCCTCCTACATTACCTAGACAACAAGAGACACCAAACACCGGTTTAGGGTCCAGCTTTGAATCATCGTCATCAACCACCTTCCAAAATCACGCCTCGACTGCCAACAACAACAACAACAACAATAATAATACCACTAATGTTGGCAGCAGTCAAGCATATAACAACCGTGATAATGTTGCTGCTGACGTTATGGTAAATCAAAATAATAATGCGGCACAAGGTGGTGAAGCAAATAATGCCCAAGCATTGACTTGGCGTGATATCGAGCATGGACTATGGACTTTTATCGCTTCATTAATCCCCACAAATGCACCTGAAGGGGGACAAGATGATCAGATTGCAATGTAGTAGTAGTAGTAGTAGTAGTAGTAGTAGTAATAAAAGTAACAACAATAATGATCATCATCATCAAAATTATAATGAAATAATATTAATTTATTTATTCAATTCGTTCATAAATTTGCGTGGATAAAGAATACACATACTAACAAAAACATGAGTATGTTTCTCACTTTAGTTTCTCAGTTTTAACAGGAAAACATGCTTAACGTGACTAGAGATTAATATTTTTCACACAAGTTTATGATTTTCACTGATTTACCTACATGAATAATTAGCCAGATCGGCCGCATTACATCATATCCACATGATTTTCATTCTCGTCATTTTAATAGTCTATTATTATTATAACTGACCCAGTATCCAAAAAAAAGACAGACGGGAATACAAAAAATTATATATAATTATTGTCTTGGAGGTGCATACCTAAATTTTTAAGAAAAATTCAAAATTGAGAAAATTCATACAAGATAAATCAATAATTACAAGAAACTTATTGTACGTACACAATCTTTCTAGATTTGAGTACACTCCACCGATTTCGTTTCAACCAGATCGATAGCGCGAACAAAGCCGATAGAATGATTATTGCCTTTGCCCCCATTTTTTTACGCTCATCGTGTTCCGGTTCCGCAGCCCAACAAAGGAACGTTGTCACATCCTTCGCCATTTGTGAAGTGGTTGCCGGAGTTCCTAAGTAATATTAAAATAGTTCAAAAAAAAAGGATGCTTGAAGAATAAAAATCTGTCATTAATGTACGCACCATCTTCGTATTCAACCAAACCATCAAATAAAACGCGTGCCATTGCAATAGCACCACCGGGAAAATAGGGGTTATAATTTAGTCCTTCTCGAATATGGACACCAGCTGGTGGTTCAACGTAGCCTGTGAGCAGTGCAAATACATAATCCTATAAGATAAATGCAAAAGTCTTTTAAAGATTTTTATTATAAACACCACAACAATATAGACGGGCATGTCACGTGAATCATGTAAAATAAGTTCATTTTTACATACCGCACCCCCATGACGTGCTTTAATCATCAATGAAAGATCCGGTGGAAGAGCTCCAGCATTGCCAGCACGTGCTGCCTCATCGTTGGGATATGGACGTGGCATATAATCTGATAATCTACCAGGCCGTAGGAACATCTCACCCTCATCATTTGGGCCGTCAGTATATTCAAACTCCTGAGCCATGGCTTTTGCTTCCTCGACTGTATGACTCACACCGACTAATGAACGCCAAGCGATTCGATCAAGTGAATGACATTGCGAGCAAACTTCTCTGTAGACTTGATAACCACGACGAATACTGTTTATTTAATAAACACAATATTTAAAATCTATTATTATTCATTTTTTTGTATAACTTGATGGAAGATATCATCGATTATTTTTGTGATGTCATGCAATATTTTTTAATGAATTTTCAAGAGGAAATATCATATGTTCGTCATTTGATCCTCGGTCAGACGAACCTATGTTCCCCGAATATGATTCTGTTGTCCGGTCCTCTTAACTCTCTCTCTCTCTCTCTCTTTTTGGCTTTCGCTTCGAAACTCAGTTCGTCACCTCACCTGGCATGATCAAAAGTGCTGAGTGCACCTTTATGTGACCAAGGATAAGCAGGTGGGTGTAAACCCTCATCGACCATATTAGCATGAATCGGATTCGAATACAAATAATAACTGGCTCCTCCTATGACCATGGCGACTGCAGCAGCAGATGTTCCTATAGCTCTTATATTCTATTTTTTATTATGGGTGATGAGTGAATGGTGATTTCGCATTAGATCCAATGAATTTGATAATTAAAATTAAATCCTCGATTATGTCTTGACTGATTTTATTATTATCATTATCATTATTAACAAGTGAGACAATAAAAGAATATAAGTAGAAACTAAAGAATGAGTTAAACATAAAAGGTTTGGTAACGAGTAAAAAAGTTTTAGTCCGAAAATTTGTTTCTTGTCTCCTTAAGGAACACTCTAAGTACTGCAGCGGAAATGCGAAAAAGCCAAAATACGAACCGACTGGCCAGCACCAGCATTAGTGGAAGCAGACCGAACCTGTAAACAAGTAAAAACAGTGGCTTTACATAAAGATCTTCAGGCTACTTGCTTGAACTATAAACCCAAAATGTCAGACAGGGAGTCGTCTTACTTGAATAACGTTATTTTGTACCCATCGTTGCAAAGGTCTCCTTGTGGACTGGCTTGAAATCCTGGAAAACATGAAGAACTTTAAATAAGGAGAAAAATACTTGATAACGATTGATAACAGAACAATTTGAAAAAAATTGTATCAATGATCGCTAATCACTAGCCCATTAGTATGTCCACGGAAATTATGTTTCGAAATTAATATTCGGATCAATTGCATGCATAATATTTATTAAATAATAATGTATATATATGTATATATATTTTAATTGAGAATCTTTAACATAGGCATCATAATTAATATTATTAGTTTTATTATTAACGGCCATTCACTCCACTTCGAACTCCTCCAACACCACCACCATGACTTATTGTCGTCATCCTATTAACATCAATATTTGTATTTGCATCAGAGGGAAATCCATTGACTATATTCGAGGATTGTCCTTGCGCTGGAATCCCATTTGAGTGTTGTTGCTGTGCCTGTTGCGGTCCTTGACCTTGATCTTGCTGTTGATTTTGCATTTCTAATTCTTTTCGAGCCGTTTCCAATGGATCAACCGGCCCACCAGAACTACGCACATGTAAGCTGGACCACGCATGAAAATGCCAGTATTGTACAACGTGTACCCAACTCGCCGTGTCTTCCACTTTCATAGATTCACGAAATGTCTCGTTTTGTAATAAATCAAGAAAATGAAGTGCATGTGGATATCTTTTTTTTTTTGGAAAAAAGTATTGGTTATTATTATTATTATTATTTAGCTAGATGAGTGATGATAAATCATATGGTGTACTTGTTTCTTTAATTTTTTCTTTCTTCATATTATGATGATAAATCATCTTTAGTGGTTTTACTCAATGGATCAGCCTAGGTTTTTATAGGTGGACGTACATTATGAATTTTGCGTATTCGGGCCTTTTCCAGTATTGTAAGTATTTGAGGTAATTAATGAACACTGGATCGTCTAGAAATCCTTTCTGCGCTAAATCTTTTAGTTTTTATTGATTCATTACACGAGAATTAAAAAATTTATTAAACCGAGTTGTCGAAAAGTTCAAATGGAAACGAAAACGTTTTGATACAAACGAGTAATATAATAAGGATTAGAGATGCTCTGTATGAATTCCAATTCTAACAAGAAGCGTTCTCGTTCAGGGTTTGTCTCTTCTATTTCCAGATTTTGGTCTAGGGATTGTTGTTGTTGTTCTTCTTGCATCGCTTCGGCCATTCTTCGTCAGAGGTGTGATAAAGTTCGTTTATTGATCTTCTGCAAATTTGTCATCAGATAAAGTTATGATCATCCCTAAGTAGGTAGATCTGAGAATCAAAAAAAAATCCCTCCCTACACCCGAGCACGTATATCGTTAATATTTTCTTTCCAAACTTCTCAAAAAATGGCAATTGCTCCCATCACAGGAAAACTTCGAAGAATCCTCATTAGGGACATCACAGTTTCTTTCGGCGTTGGAATAGCTGGTGCCTACGCATATTGGTATGGCGCTCACATTCCGATAGTACGGAAACGAGAAGCTTACTACGCTAAACTTGCACAAGAGAAGGGAACGCAATGATGAGTTCTTTGATGTAAAATGACAAGATTTGGTGGCTTGTCAAAATCGAGGTATTATGCTTGCATTTTGTTATGTTATAATTGATTTGCTCTTATCTAACTTTGTATTTTCTACCTTTAGTTGTCATCAAAGATTTTTCTATTAGCTATCAATTCCGGAGAAGACAAGATAAAAATCATAGATCATAATAAAGTTGCAAACAACGCGATTTTTCTATTAATAAAATGGCTTTAAAAACACATAATTACAAAAGTTTCAAATATATTACATAGAACACACACCAAACACACGAGTGATTTGTTATATTATACAATTTACATATTAACGCTTTTCAAAAATCGCATTGTTGTTTCAAAAGCGAAAAGCGCGGATGCGTTTGTGGGAAATGAGCGTAATAGACATGGTGTAAAGCCGCGATAGAATCCGGAATAACCCTCTAAAATATTTGAAGGATAATTCTTAGTAACCATTATTACAATGATTTTTTTTTAGATCATTTATCGTTTACCTGTTTGATACAAATGTCTAGCACAACTAATCATATTTGAGAAACGGGGCGGCTTGGTGTCCGGCTGTGTCATCATTCGATTTTTTACCACGTCTTTTTTTGTTATTTATCATAATTGATGAGTTAGTAAATTGTTGTATGATTGATTGATTGTAAATAGATTGGATTATATATTTACCGAACGGGAATGCAAAACACCAAAAAGTCGTGGCGCCAAACCCCCCAGCAAAAAAATTAACAGCTCCCTCGTTAATTTTCAGTTTTCTCAACCAGGTGGAGTAGATCTTAAATTGGAGTAAAGCTTTGGTTAGTAAAAAATTTTTGCATTTATGTTGTATTTATGTTAATTATAAGATAAATAATTTATACATTCTTACATCGTATGAAGCCCAAAATACTGCAAACCAACTATTTCGGAAATTGTAATCAAAAATAATAAGAATCTCTTATTCGATAATATTCACTTTTAATCAATTAACCAACCTCCTAAATAGCAATGTTTCCGCGAGACCTTTCCATAGGCCAAAAATACCATTGTTTCGGTACTTTATTCCAAGTAGGAGAAAAAATATATTCAAAAAAAAAATGAAGCATGGAAGGTAATGAACAACATATGTTCTTACTAATTTAAGAGCGCAATCAATAGGTCCGTTATAAATCTTTGTTGATGCGTCATATTGTACTTGTAGTCGTGCCTAGATTCGAAAAAAAATTGTATTCTCACGTTAATCGAAAAATAATATAGCAACATTAACGTTTAAAGAATCACCTTGATGTGTTCAATTGGCGTCGCAACAAATGACACTGTAAGCCCAGCACCTAATAGATTACAA